CGTTTTCCTCGGAGTGCTGAATATTCGCAAATGAAGTGCTGGATGGATTCTATCTCCTCCTCATCCCTGCAGCTTCTACAGAAATTGTTATGCGAGACTCCGAACCTGGCGGATATGTGGCCAATTGTCCAGTGACCCGTGAGTATTCCTGTTAGAAGCCTAACATTTGGCTTTACTAGTCTTAATATATACCTTGTTCTTCTTTCATCGAACCATGGCCAGAGCGAACGCGATACGATGCAGGTGTGCAGACTTTCCCACCTACTGTTAGTGGCTGCCCTAATCAGTCTCTCGACTTCTGAAGACCAAAAATGCAGGGGACGTTTCACGATCTGGATCGCTTCCCCTAGCCCCATCTCAGATCCCCTTCTAGCACACTCGTCCGCATTCTCATTTCCCAGGACACCACAATGCCCCGGGACATGTAGGGCATGTAGGGATGTTCGGCATTCTTTAACACATAACGTAGTCGTTGCCGACCCTAAGGATTTGATAGCCGCCTGACTGTCTACAACGAAGGCAAGTTTAGATGCAGCTCATCAACATTGGCGCCATGTGGCTAGCATATATCTCAGCCTGAAAAACACTGAAGTGATCTGGGAGTCTATAGGACTGCTGAGAGAAGACACCTGGATCCTGATCCGATATTCATTTTGGAGCCGTCCGTGAAAATGGGTATTTCGTCATCGCTGAGAGCAATACTAAATTCCCAGTAACCACTGACGGGAAAATGGATATCGAAATTTCGATTGAAGTCATTTTCCGTGACTTGATAGTGACAGTTGCTCTCTCGAGGATTGTGGCGTGATCCTTGCAAGTTGTAGACGCACTGAGTCGTAGAGCGCTTTTAGCTGTTGTCTTTTTAACGTATAGGTCTATTGGTGAAATGTTTAGGAGGTTCACTAGCGCCGCCTGGGGCGTTGAGTAAATTGCCCCCGTTGTGCATAGACATGCTTGGCGTTGCACATCTTGCAGGTTGAGTAGATGAGATTTGGTGTCAATTGCCTGCCACCATACCAGCGCGCCATAGGTGAGAATATGTCTAACTATCACCGTATAAATCCAGTGTGTTATCTGCGGTCGCAGCCCCCAGTCTTTCCCTAGTATCGTATCGAATGTCGAAAACTCAATTTAATAAGATAATCACCCTCATTGCGAGAGTCGTGTAGAATGCAAGTCGTTTTTCGAGGGTCGAATCATATCGATAATTTCACGTCATTGCCTAAACTTTCCACTCGACTAGTGTATTAAAACGGAATAACTTGGCAGCACTGTTTAGTTTCCGACGCTTTTCGTCGTTTACTTATTTCGGCACGACAGTAGACAATGCCAATGTTGTCGAGTCGTACAATTCAGCCTAATTTACGACTTACGCAATGAGGCTGCATGTGACTGACAATTCTTCCCTATATAAATTGGGCTTTAACGAAGAGAAATTTGTACTATAGTTTAGATTGCATGTAGCGGGATTTGAACCCACGGCCTCAGTGTTTTAAGTCAACATCTCTACGTGTAAAAATAATAATAGATTGGCGTTTACACAATATTTTTAGTATTTGGCCGAGCTTCTCCTCCCATTTGTCGCGTGGCCTTGGTGTTGTGCCATAGAGGGGGTCCCTACTATTTTACGCCGACTCTAAACGGTGATTGTATTTTTTTATGAGAAGCTGTTTTTCTTGGCAGAAATACACTCGGAGGTCTGCACACTTCTAGTCACTACACCACAGCGGCCTACATACGACACCAATGTTGAGAATTTTTTTTGGATTTTGGCATCGATATTTGGGATATCGAGTCTTTTTATTCCGATATAAATGGGTACCCGATATTTTACAGCGATACTTTAAATGAGTACCATATCGATACTTTCCGNACAGCGATACTTTAAATGAGTACCATATCGATACTTTCCGTTAGATATTGTGTCCCTAGGCGAATGTCCCCCCGAAATGACATATACTTAAATTAGTTTTATCGCTTAATTACATACAGTGGTCGAACGAATTATAGTCTAACATATTATTTTTCTGTTATTTAACTTTGGTTTAGATTTCCTAGAAAGATTCTGAGTATGCAGTTTTGCAGCTCGTAATCGTAACATCTTCGACAAATAAAAATTCTAAAAAATCAACGGTAATTTTTAGTAATGTGAAACTTTATTCAGAATTCAATGGGCATAATCAGAATTTTTCCTTGAAAATAAGTAACATTATTTGGAATTTTGGATAATGGGCGTGATACCGCCCACTTATGACTACTTATATAAGTTTATCTCATTATGTCTAACTGAACGTTCTATCGAAAATGTTTAAAATAGGGGTAAAACTACTCCTGCATACCATGTACCGATAGTTTTCGGAAAGGTGAAAAACATATATTCAATACTTCGGGTCTGCCCGAACTAAGACTTTCTTACTTTTTTGTTTTGTGTTTTCGAGGTATAATAAATAAAAAAACTTTACTTAATAAAAACTTTCGCTTTTTCAGCGAAAGATTTCTTAATAGGGAAGTCGGAAAAACATCGATGCATCGAAAATATCGATATTTTGCTTCGATGCACCGAAAATTTTCCACTCGATGTATAAATAGTCGATGTATTAATGCATCGATGTTTTTTGAAAACTGACATCTCTTGTCTTGCGGTCTTATAGCTCATTCCGATTAAGCCTTTGAAAAGAGATTACAAAGGCGATAATTGCTCATATAAAGTACAAGCAAGCGAAAGCGAAAGCAAATATTAAGAACTAACCTGAGCTTTAAATTGCAGTTAAGCGTGGAAATGAGCCATTATTCAATCACCCTTTATATACATATCGTCGCCTTAGAGTGTAAACCTGCTAACGACCAAAAAACATATTTTACTGTAGAGGCAAAAAACTAAATATATCTTTAACTCTTAGTCTAAGGGGCAAATCCTACATATCGTTGCCTTAATATAGAAAGGCCCTATCTGACATCGTCGCTGATTTACAAAAAGTCGTAACTAACTAAAAATCGAAAATTTACGTTTTAATTGATTATGATGCATTTGATCGAATTATGTGGCCTCACATCATTTTATGCAATAAAAGATTTTAGTTAGTTACGGCTTTGTGCATTTCAGCGACGATGTTAGATAGGGCCTTTCTATATTAAGGCAACGATATAGTTTGTTAATCGCGCGACGTTCTATGGCCCTAATCCAGAACGAATGAAAAAATTACGTTTTTATGGTTTTATTGGCGAATTTCTAATTTAGCAGGTTTTAGTTTTTGTATTTTCAAAATTGAAGTGGATTTAGCAGATTTCTTGTATGAATAAAATTGTTTCTATTTTATTTTTTGTGATTACGAGCTGAATTTAAATGTTAATTAAAATAGGACTCCATAGATAAAAACTATAATATATATATAAAAAAATACAACAGATTTTTTTCTTCCGTTTGTTGCAACTAAAATAGGCAGTTTATAAAACATATATTAGTAACTATACGTGAAGTATTCCTCTCTCAAATTAATAGTACAAAGACCACATATAAGATAATTTAAGTAGGAACTCAATAATGCCAGAAAGTATGATACTTATTATTCAATCATTAAGTAAATTGTTATAGTAGGCGTGGCAATCTTCAGGAAGTAATCGTTTGAAATATTGGAGATCTCATACTTTCTGCGAGCAATCGTACGCCTACTCTCGTATAAATTCGGAAGGTGAGAAAACGGCAAGGAAACAGCTACTGGGGATTTTCTTTGCGGTATTACTTTCCATTCGTTGGAGAATCTTAGTTTGAAATGTATGTCGCCACTTGGTGTATACCGTAGGGCTCGTATATCAGTTACTTTAGCAGCATCTTTGCCGCGACCGGGACGAATGCTATTAAATAATTGAACTGTGTTAAAACTTTTAAAGAACGTGTAACTAAGATAAGTTACGTCATATGGTTTTGGATTTTTTCTAGCTGATCTACATACTTCAATGTATTCTGCAGGAACATGGATATCTCTTTTCTGAAGTGCTCGTTCGATAGTGGAATGGATACAACCAGCTTCCATTTGGGTATGGCCTACTTCAAGAAACTTTTGCTCATAAATGATATTGTTATTTATAGCTGTGGATAACAAAGCATTAGCCATAATACTGTTTCGCTTTTGATATGTGCATTCGTCGCTATAAAAAAATTACTATAATTGGCTCCCCGAAACTATTATTTGGTACTATATATTTTTTTCTATCAAATCTACCCACACGCTGGGAAACTCTTCTGTATTTAATCTTCCTTCTGTTTCGTTCCACAAGTAACAATAATTTCCTTGAGATATAAAAACTTAAAGCTTATTCGCTGGCTATTACCTTGGCTTGAAGGCATAAAATAATACTCTAAAAGAACAATAATCGAGCGACAGAAGCACAATATGTTGGATTTAGCAGTTGAATTTGAACTGATTGTACTTAGCAGCTTTACTCATCAAACAATTTTTGGCAATTAATTTTCATAATGACGTATTTATTTGCTTGCCAACTGCGGAATCGCCTACTCCTTCGAACTGCATCAAAAGGTAAATTTTGCCAAAAAACGGATCTAGCAGGTTTACACTCTTAGCCGACGATATGTATGTTTGCATCCATTCAAGAATGGACAACCTGCCTGAAAAAAGTGGGACTAGGTTAAATACTAGTACAGAACCACGGTACCTTGTAACCAACACTAGTAACCAAAATGGTCCAAATATATGGAGAAAATATGGTTACATTAACATTGCGATGTCCTTGGGCCTGAACGCCTCTGGTCCACCTAGACAACTACTCCTTATATACCATGGCACATTCGACAACCAAATCATATTGCCGATGGGCCACGAAGAGGTGGTTTGAAGTGGTCCAAGTTCGCATAACAAGTTACTAGTATGCAACCTGGTCCTTTCGCACATACTGTAAACGACCCAGTGGACCACCTGGTGCTCAAATTTTTGCAGGGCTTACAAACTAATTTTAATTTTAATAAATCAAATAATTAGACCTACCTGTAAACAGACTCGTCGTAGAAGAGTAGGATGCGCAGCGGTTGCTCAGCGGCATTAGTGCTGCGTTTTTGTAAGCCGTGCGTACTCTGATGTGAATGCGGCGAACCAGCCATTTCAATGCGGACGCCATGAATCACCTGGAATGCAGAAAATTACTTATACATATAATAGAAGTTACAACGGATCGTACTTAATGCAAATAAATAAAAAATGTATGCGGGGAAACTGTATATACTCAAAATAGTAATAGATATTCTGATACATACTATAGACCGCAAAAATACATAAATAAAAAATCTACGGACAAGTGAAGAGTACCGTCCGCATTTGCGCATAACTCACTCTAGCCTCTCAGTGCTCAACGTCACTCTAGCCTCTCAGTATTTTGGCGGGGATCCCAAATTTAGACATGGTTTGTCGTAAATCGACAAAAAGATGTTAAGTGTCGATTGATTAGAACTTAGGGTGTTTTTCAATAAAATTCTGGAATAGGGCGTTTTTGAATCAAACTCTGAAGTAGGGCGTGAAGTTTTCTTAGTTAGGGCGTTTTTGAACTGGCCGTCGAGATAGGTCTATCTTCCACTCGGCCATTGATATTACTTCCATAGAGTCAAGTTTTCTCAAGTGGGCCACCCAAAGTGGACTTTTCGATTTTTTATATTTCATTGGCCGATTTTGAAAGTTAACATGGTGTGCAATATTGCCACCAAAGTTTTTGCACTAATTTTATTTTTTTTTACGAGTTATTTGCAAAAGAATTTTTATGCAGGCTTTTACACTTTTCGAAATATTTCACCAACTTTCGAATCTTATGATTTTTTGACAGCAATTAGAAACCTATTGGGCAACAAACTCAAGTGGTCAGTTTGTAAAATTTCGATTCTTGTTTTATAAAAGGTATTGTATTTTTTTAATCAATTGAATTTTTTTACCAACTTCTCATATTCCTAGGAAAAGAATTCAAAAAACAATATTTGCGCTAAACATTCAATTTTACTTTCATAAAAAAAAAATTATAGTACCTTGATTGAGTTACAGCTTTTTACCAAAAAAATTAACCAAGTTTAAAAAAATATAATACAAATGAACTGAAGAGCAAAAAAAAAATATTTGATAATTCTTGATTTGATGCTCAAGTTTTAAAATTTTATTTTGTTTTTTTTATTTTTTTTTTGATTTTTACTTTTATTTGGCCCACAGTTTCGTGAGTACATATATTGATTGCTTCATGTGTTTCAAAATTTTTTTTTTGTTTTTGTCGCACAGTGTAATCGGTACATCTATGACATGTTTACACATGTTTACANAGATCATTTCTGCATACATACTTAACACGATTTTGTATCATTTTGGATTATGACACTATTTAAGCAAATGACATGATATGTGCATATTTTTTTATAAACGTATGTATGTATGCATGTATGTAAATTAATTTGAAAAAGTCTGAAATTATTGACACATTTTTTGCGATATTACCATCTATCTAACCCATTTTGGGCAACATGTACACGCGTAGGTAGGGGTACGAACCATGAACTTCATTTTAACAGCCACGACATATAGCGCTCACAAGTACGCTCACATTGTAAACATCTACGGTATGTTGAAAGCATGCATTTTTACAACATACCGCCGAAAATTATTAAATATTAGCTTTGGCGTTTGAAAGCAAATTAGCAATCAGTAAGCCGAAGCAGCCGTCGACAAATGATAAATGATCCGCGAAACCATTGCGTACGTACAGTCAGCGTCAAAAATATGCATACACTGACGTTTTGACGATTTTATTTGTTTTTATTTTCCATGCCAGTTTTTTCTTATTTTTTTTTTTTAATAAAAATATAGTTCATTCAACAGGAAAAACCACAAGAATCAATTTTTTCAATTCCATTCAGAACTCGTTAAAATGCAAGAAATTTTCGTAGAAATTTTCAGTTTTTCAATTCGATTTCCTGTAAAATTTTGAGTATGAATTTTTGTAGCCCACTAAATTTTATTGTGTTTTTTTGTTATTTTGTTAATTTCTTAATTTTTTCGTTGATGTTGTTGCGTTAAAATTTACTTAATTTACTAAAACTGCGTCCTCAATTTCTAAGAAATAGAATTGAAAAATGGAAAGTTTCGATGAAAATTTCTTCGTATTTGAAGCATCCCTTTTTATTTTTCCACCACTGTGTAAATAAATATAATCGTCAAAACGTAAGAGTATGCATATTTTTGACGCTGACGGTATGTGTATACTCCACAACATGTATGTAAGAAGACAACATTGAAAAATCATTTACTAGCATGTGCTATAAAGCAATGGTATTATACTTATTGCCTACATTCACTATTATATAATATTATATGTATGTAGTAAATATTTTGTCGTTCCGGTGTTTTAACTTATTTAAAAAAAAATTAAAAAATAAAATACATTTACATTCTTATTGAAAGTCGCTAGCAATTATCCAATTGAACAAAGTTTTTTATAATACATAGTTTAATAGTGTAAACTAGTTTAATTTTAATGGCGCTTTTAACTAGGGTCATTCGCTCAAAGTAGATACAATTTTTGTATCGATATGATGCGAGTAGATCTAATGGTACAAGGTCACACAAGACACAGAACTTCATACCAACAAAAATTTAGTGCGTGCTCTTCTTATTTCCCATTAACTTGTTATTTTTTGATACTTTTTTACAAATCTTAGCAAAGGTAGTTTTAACTCTTTTGTAACACAATTGGAAGATACTAGGAAAGCTAGACTTAACTATGGAAAGAAAAAAAGTTTGTCCGCTATGCCGAAGGCTTCATACCATTCATTAGCATCGGAAAATTGTTCTTCAACCGATTAAGTACTGTATTTTCAGTTAGTTCTTTGGGAACTTAACAAAATGTTTGCCTATAGAAGAGTTATTGTATTTGAACAATCAGTGATAAAGAAGGTATAGTTTGTACAGCATCGATCTTGACGATTTTCTCAGTAGACTTTGTATGATTATTTCGTTCTTTTACGATGTCGTTGTTGGGGCACGATTTTTATCCGGAACATTTGCACTTTATCGGTCTTTAGCCCGGCTGAATTGCTACGGCCATAAGATTGAAAGAAAACTACTTTAAGTACTTCTCAATTTCTTTTCTGAAACGAGTGCATCTTTCTTTAGTGTCTTTGGATTTTCGCGATTATGTTACCTATTCTTTTTAACCGAACCTGCTGTCTATCAATAAACGTTCGGTTATTAGTGTATACGGATAAAATCCGAATATTACGGATATCTAATTAATATTCGTTCATTCGTTTACCCGGATATCCGGTTAATATCCGTTCAATTGATTATCCGGATATTCTAAACAGTATTTTATGCGCCGAAAAGCCAGGCTTCGCCGAAAAAAATTACGATCTTCTGAGTCTGCTTTTGCATGGTCTTTTTCTAGCCGTCTTTCGGGGAAAGCGGCGAGGTTTTTGACACATAGAATACGATTCTCGTTTCGGTATGAACGCCGTTCTCAGATTTTGTAGGTGTAATTTTTAGAGCTTCACTAAAGGGCTAATGAACGCGAAATAATAAAGCGATTAAAAATTGCGAAAATGGCGTGAAATATTGTCTTAAAATCTTGTATATGATAATCAGCCAAAAATGCAGTGTTTAAAAAAAATGGGGTCGTTTTTTACGAAACTGTGCGGAAACTGTGCTCTAATTACTAACTATTGTTTTATTTAATCAAAAACTTAAGTTATTTTCTTTAGTTTGTATATGGGAAGTATTGGTTGATTTCTTTGTGAAAAAGTTGAATTCGACCAAGAAAAAGACGACTGCCAACCCGAATACAAATACAGAAACGAACACGAAGACATACCTGAAGATGAGGAGGTATGAGAAGACAAACAGAAAGATGAATACGAAGACGAGGACGTACATGAAGACGAAGGCGATTACGGAAAAAAGACGAACATAAAAACGAAGATGAACACGAATGCGGAGACGGACACGAATACGACTACGTTTATGAAGAGGTAGTCGATGCGAATATGAATAAGAAAACAGATATTTACCATTAATACTACCACTACCACTACCACTACCATTACCATTACTGTAACCATTGCCTTTCCATTGCCATTATAACTATCATTGTCATTAACATTACTAATACCATAACCATTATCATTACCACTACCATTTCCATTACTATCCCCATTATCATTACCATGACATTATTAATAGATTCTACGGAAAATTTATATGACCCTTTAAGCATTTGTCATGAGAAGTCCATAGCCGATGTAACGATGAGTTATGAGATTCACAACGCCAGGAGAGGTCAGGCGGAGAAGAACTTAGCTTCACTTGGTATTTCCAATTGGCATCGGTTGGTTGGTTGTATGTATGTAGAGGCATAAAATATACATGTCGAGGGCTTATATTCAATACCATCTATCTGCAATTTTCACAAAAATTAACTTTTAAAGCCTAAGTGTCATGGGCCGTGTTAAATCTAAACTTATATATCACTTGTCACAAAGTTAAAATTGATATCAGTGTTGACAGAAAATAGTGTTTGTAAAAATTGCTGATAGAGGGTTGAAATATAAGCCCTCGATATGTATTTTGAAAGTTTTAAAATCATACTCAATTTTAATTTTAACCGATACTTCAAAAGGTAAACCAAAATAAAGTTAGAATGCGTTTTAATTGCGAAATGTTATTTTGGTTGTCAAACCTAGCTTTATATATTTTTTTTTTAATCACGGGCCGTGTTGTTTTTGCTTGCCTACAGACATATACGGATATAGCATATCAAATCAGCAGCGTTTCGATGTTTCGACGTTGTATGCCTTTTTGCTACTTTTGCATTTCAACAGTCAAACTACAAGCTAATTATCAAAGCACTCACTTAAAAAAGAAACATAAACAGGTACCTGCCAAAACTAAAAAAAAAAAAAAAATGCGTACGGATGCCCTGTTGGAAATGGACTGCTGAATAGATTGGAAAACCAATGGCGTTTTCGTTTCTACAAACAAATATTACATTCCCAACGCCCGCTTCTTAGTGTTTGTTCGTAGAGAGCAAAGAGAAGGTTGCATTTTTCGGTAGAAACGAAATCGGCACAACATTTAACACTTGTACCAATAACTAACTTCACAA